GTATTTAACACAGTGCCTGACATATAGAAAGCTCTCAATATATGCTAGCTGTAAGTGTTGTTGTTATTTAGATAATTTCTAGTGAGAAATAATCTAGAACCTAGGATATAAAGACATTTACATAAGAAAATAATTCTCGTTCCCACCCCCTTCCCAAATGACTGTAAGAATAAGTACATGGAAGCCGAAAGTGAAAAGAGAATGGGCCATGGAGTCAGATAGACATGAGTTTCCTTTCTGCATTCACCGTAATACCCAGCTTAGCTATGATCCTGGCAAATCACCTCTCTCACTTGCTACCAAAAAGAGAACTTCATCACTGGGGTTAACAACACAGCTGTGAGTTGGGCTGCTTGGGGTTCAGTACCAAGCTCCTCCACCTATAGCTTTGTGTCTTTGGAAAATTATATCACTTCTCTCTGCCTCAGTTTCCTCACTGTAAAATAGTGATGATAATGGAAACTATCTCATAAAAAATTATAAGGTTTAAGGCCGGGCGCAGTGGTTCACACCTGTAATCCTAGCACTCTGGGAGGCTGAAGCAGGAAGATCGCTTGAGGTCAGGAGTCCGAGATCAGCCTGAGCAAGAGCGAGATCCAGTCTCTACCAAAAATAGAAAAAAGTTAGCCAGGCACGGTCGTGCACACCTCTAGTCCCAGCTACTCGGGAGGCTGAGGTAGAAGGATTGCTTGAGCCCAGGAGTTTGAGGTTGCAATGAGCTATGATGATGCCACTGCACTCTAGCCAGGGCAACAGAGCAAGACTCTGTTCAAAAAAAAAAGGAAAAAAAATAAGAGTTATAAGGTTTAAATTAAATGAGATATGTATGCGCTTAGAACAGTACGTGGCATGCAGTAAGCACTTAAGTACTTTATATACGCTAACTAAAGTTCTGTCTTGCACCTTTATTGTGGAGATAGGTCTATTTTAAGTGCCCAGTGCACTGCTTGTGCACATAGGCTCTCAATAGCTAGCGGGTATTTATCAGAGGAGCTCATGTGTTTGCATTAGATCTATTCTGTGAGATAAACTATGGTGGCACAAGATGAAACCAGAATCATTTACTTAGGGACAGAAGAGGCACAAGAATTATAGTTCAGAAAGAGAACTCATGAGAATGAAGAAAACAAAGCAACAAGCCATAGAGACTTGGCAAGGAATATCTGCGGTAATCTGTTTTAAGTCTAGTGGGTACAGCCTGGCCAGCCCAGGGTTTCTCGTAATACGAGGTCCTGCATACACCTGCTTGCCTTCCCTTGGGGAAATTTAATTTTTTCTGACAAGAAGTCTGTTTTCATTTCTATTTTTATTTCTCCGTGTGTGATTTGTCTTTTATCTCTGTCTCCTTTTAAGATTTTCTCTTTATCAGTGGTTTTTAGCAGTTTGGTTATGATGTGCCTCTGTGTTTTTTTCTTTGGGTTTATTCTGTTTGGGGTTCATTGAGCTTCTTAGATCTATGGATTTACAGTTATCATCAAATTTGGGGATTCTCCAGCCATTATTTTCCCCCACCCCTCCTTCTGGTGTTCTGACCTACAAATTCTAGTATCCGGCCCCCCTCTGAGCTTTGACCTCTGACTTTTCCACTCAGAGAAACCACCAGGCTGTGTTTGGGCTCTCCCTGTGCTGCAGGCTGGAGGTTCCTGAAGGAAACTGCTTCAGGCAGCAAGCTGGGGCTTTCGTCATTTATTTCCCTGTTCTTGTGACTGCAGGCGTGCACCGCCTGTTGTCCAGTGTGTACAAACTGTCATTTCATATATTCTATCCAGTTTTCTGAGTATTTAAGGCAGGAGGGAAATTCTGGTTCCTGTTACTCCATTATGGTCAGAAGCGGAACATATTTAAGGGGGCATCTAAAACCCATTGTGCCGTGGTGTTCACCAAGGTCTCTTCAAGTTCTGATTATCTGTAGCTATGAATGGTTGTTCACCAGCGTTTTGTTGAGGATGTTCCCATTTCTTCTGTAGAATGAAAAACAGAACAGGCGTCTCTGAGCAATCAACTGAAAAGTTCAGCTCAGTCCATGGTGGATTAGTAACCACTACCTTACTTCCACCTTTTAGAATTTCCTCTTAAAATGCCATTAAGGGAAGAGACGAGTCATGGTGCTTGCTACTGGGCTTACTAAACTCGGAGCGAACTGTCAGGTAGTAGAGTAAACCCTGACATCTTGACAGATGAGGAAACAGGTACCTGGTAATAACTTCTAAGCAACAATATCCCCCTCCATGCAACTCCACCACTTCAGCTCTCCCGATCGCCCAGCAGGCTCCAAGGAAAGGGTAGAACGATCTTCACCCCAAAATATAAAGCTAGCTGCCATCAAGAAGGCTCTGTAGGCCGGGCGCGGTGGCTCACGCCTGTAATCCTAGCTCTCTGGGAGGCCAGAGCGGGTGGATCGCTCGAGGTCAGGAGTTCGAGACCAGCCTGAGCAAGAGTGAGACCCCATCTCTACTAAAAATAGAAAGAAATTATCTGGACAACTAAAAATACATAGAAAAAATTAGCCAGGCATGGTGGTGCATGCCTGTAGTCCCAGCTACTCGGGAGGTTGAGGCAGAAGGATCACTTGAGCCCAGGAGTTTGAGGTTGCTGTGAGCTAGGCTGACGCTACGGCACTCTAGCCCGGGCAACACAGTGAGACTCTGTCTCAAAAAAAAAAAAAAAAAAAGAAGGCTCTGTATACTTTTATAGGCTACTTTAGAAAACCTTTATCCTGCCAGACCAAGAGATAATAGAAGGAACATGTGTGCTAATTCCATTATAACATAGGGCCAAGGTACTAAGTGCATCAACAATAACAAACCCTTCTGTTGATGAGGCCTTTACTTAAATAGCCTATCTAAGAGTTACTTTGTTCACAAAGTTCACAAAATTTTAGGTTTCTAGTATTCTCCATATTTCATTAATAGAGATCAGTTGATACCTGGCATACAAGAGTAAAAGCTAAGCTCCTATAACAAAGAGACCCAAAAATACAGTGGCCAGGCTGAAGAGACGTTTTTGCCCCAAAAGGTGATTCACTAACCCAAGTACCCTCCATTTTGTTATTTCCGCATCCTCCTGACCTGCATTGTCGAAGCTGGGTCACTGCCAGTGCAAGGCAAGCAATTTCCCTCAAGCCGGTGAGGCAGAAGTTGACACACCTCTTCTGTTCATGTTCCATAGGGGAAAACTTAGTTACATGGCCACATCTACCTACGAGGGAGTTTAGGAAGTGTGGGCTCTAGCCCAGCAGCCTGTACCGAGCTACAACTATGAGGAAGGGGAGAATAGATTTGGAGGCACAACCAACTGTCTGCCACACCCAGCTAGTGAAGAAATAAACCCTTCTTCAAGATCATTTTCCCTTTAAATCTACATCATACAGGTATAATTTACAACACTGACCATATATAAAGACGTGTATATTGACTAAAAGAATTTTCGCACTTTCTAGAAAGGTGCATTAAGGCACCATACTACTGTGACAACTGAAGACCATCATCATCAACTCAATGAAAGGCCTGATACACTGCCAGAGTCAGGAGGATATGCTCTTGCATGAGACAGATTTTAGGATTTATATATAAATGTGCTTGAAGAGTACGTCTTGCTGCAGTTTGTTGATAGGTCAAGAATTGGGAAATGTTACTAGATTATTATGGGAATAAGTGTGAGAGGTTCATAGACTAATCCAGTGTATTGATAATAAACATTTACTATTTCAAGTCTTTTCTATCTGTGATACCTTAAACCTTGTGAAAATCTAATAGAAAAATGCCTAATGCACCATCTCTCGGGGGGGCAAGGTTACTTAGAACAATTTCAAACAGTGCTGCTCAAAATTTTGAAGTTTGTTTTCCCCTGCTGTTTTAGGGTGGGATCTGGAGCTTATGAACAAGTTGTGATCAAACGATAGAAGTCAAGCTGGTGAACTGAAGTTGCCCTGTGGATTTAAGATGTGGGTAATTGACGTATCAAGACATTTTATTCAAGCACTTTAATAGAAAATGGACCTATTTAAAAATGAAGTTCATCTATCGAGAGGAAAGGCAATGCTGATTTCCTGTCTGAAAGCGCCCGCCACCCTCCTTCCCCCCACCCAAACCGGCCGAAAGGGAACATCCGAATGGCAGTTCCAAGGCGCTGTGCCGGCATGTGCCTTGGAAGTACATGGCTTCGGGAGTCACTGCACATATGATGAAAAGCCTTTTTCTTTCAAAACACTCCAGTGAGGTAAACAGCATTACACACATCGGAGATAATTTTAGTATTCAAGTGTAAAGTCTGTGATAAAGGTGCTCAACAGATTTGGGCTATATGGGGTTTTTGTAAATTTTATGTTTGAGAGACAATAAGGGAATATAATTTAAATCCTATAAATTCTGTAAAGATAATTATAATTCCTGTTAAAGAAATCTTCCATATTATACTACCTACAGTATTGCACCAAGTTTATCAACTCTCTTTGATATAATAATTGATACAAAGTGTGGGTGTTCATGCTTTGGGAAAATGTTAGGCTACAATTTCAACATGTAAAATGCTTAATAAATAATTCTAAATGTATTAGTCATAAATCAAATGATAAGTGCGTTTAAGTCTGAGATACATGAATGGATGTAATGCCATTATTATGCAATGTATCAATGTATATTGTTACCTGTTAATATTAGATGAGCTGCAGAGCCCCCATTAGCGCTACGTAAAGGATTCAAAATAAGTTTACTATTCAATAAGTTAGGCTACCATAAGGCACCCTTACAGAAGAGCTGTTTTAACTCACTGAATATTGGATCTGCTGGTTTCAGGAGTCAAAAAGTTTAGAACAAGAAGAAAATTGTGATATGATGAGAAACAGAGAAGCCTTTTCTATGTAAATTCAGACTTATCTGAAACTAAGAGTTTTTCCGGAGAGGCAGTGAGTAGCGGACAGGACAGCTGCTCCATGCAACCCACCAACCCAGACGGCTGCTTTTCTGTTTAGCGCCCCGTGATCAGATACTGTGTTCTCTGCTTTATCAGAAGGTAGTTGTTTTGAGGCAAAAATAGAATATAACGTACATCAAATATAGCTTTTAAAATAAGAATATCTGATCTGGATCCAGTTGAACAGCACAGCAGATAAACCTTAGAGTTTTTCTGGGCTTACCTGACAGTTGCTATATGGAAAGATCTAAACTTTCTAGGAATCACCCAGTCGATGAAGAAAAATGTAGATTCTATAGAACCAGCAATTCCCCAATTCTTACTTTCAAAATCATCTCCAAAAAAGATAATATGTCAGAATGGAATTACTTCGGTCTAGGAATTTTCACATTGGCAAAATAGGGGAGAAATTATATTATTTTAATATCCAAATTTAGAGGTTTAGAAAAATGTGAATAGTTAATGTTAGAACATTTGTTTAGTTTTTAAAATATTTCAAGGATTCTATGTTAATCCTATTTTAACAAATAGATTCTGAAAATTTTAAAAAGATGACACTATTTTATAATATTTTGAATATTGAGAGGGTTTTCTGAGTTATTAGTTATACTTTTTATTTTTTAAGATTTATTTTTAAGAAAAAAGCATTGTTCTGAACATTTTGGTCTAACCAAGGAAAATGTTGTCTTAAGTGGTAAAGATTTGCTGTCTATCTTCACATGAACTGATCCATTCATTATATATTATGGAAAAAAATCAAAGAAAGGTTTTTATAGAGATATGAAGATACTGTTTAGAGAGATATTTATTATGACTTTCTTTAAAATATATTTTTCTATTTTGAAAATATTATTTCTAGGCTATATTTTTTATTGTCACTTCTGCAAATGATTTGCAGTTTGGGAAATGATTAAACTAGATTGTAAGTGGCTTCAGTGAGGACGTTCATCAGACACGTAAGAGGTGCTGTGGTCAGAGCAGTGCCCTCCCCGTCCGCCTCAGCCGCAGCTGCCCTTGGCCCTGTACCTTTATATAAGACTGGTTCTCGATATTTAAAGTGGTACAGAATTTTTTTTTAATGTGGAGAGATTTTGAAATGCATAAAAATCATGCCTTTATAATTTTAGCAGCCACCAGATGCATCTTGATTTATGTACTAGTAAATATAGCAAATATTTTAATAAATAGAAACATTGATGAGGAAGAAAAAAGAACTCATAGCTATATCCTCTGTAGTCAGTGAAAGTCCGGGTTCATTTTATTCTATTTTGTGTTCCATTGGCACACTTTGCATTCCAATTTCAGCACAGTCCTTTCAAAATATTTGTTAAGGGTTTCGTAAGTGTCTGCCTTACTTTCCAGTTCTTAGAGCATATATTGTTAATATCTTAACCACATAGCTATTGAAAAAATCTACTTATTAAATAAAATCCACTTTTGATTCTGAGTTTAGACAATTGGATTTGAAAAATTAGATTCTTAGGAAATTGATTTTTAAACATTAAAGTCAAATTTCAAATCACCCAGTCTTGGCGAATTTGTAGATGTACATAATACTTTTTCTAATTCTATCCTAGAGAAAAAGATTCATGGTATTTTAAAACTCCGTATTTGTAATGAGGTAAAGAAGAGTCTTAAACACCTTGTCTGGGGGAATGCACAGGCCAGTCAGGAGACCACTGCCTGGGGGCTGAGCTGGCGACTGAGACCAGACAGGACGTGAAGGGGCCTGACAGCAGAGGAGGCCTGGGCTGTCAGTTCACGCTTCAGCGGTTGACCCCTCTTCGCGGTGTTTTTGAAAGCCTCTGTATACAGATAACTAATGCGGATTAGTACTGACAATCTGAGCAAGTCTTGACCAAGAATCCTAAACTCCGACATCCCATTCCAGCATAATAATACCCAGACTCGATTAATAGTCCAGAATAATATCCAGACTAGATTCTTTTGTATATGCTTTTTTGTGCAAAACTATAAGCCACAGAGGTTGACCACTTAGCCCATTTGCTTGCTAGAAGAGGAAAAAAAAATCTTCAACTAGCCTCCAGTCAAAACATATTCAAATTCAGGCAGCAATGAGTTTTAATAAATTAAAACATCCAGAAGTGATTTTAGACTTTCAGTTTTCCATGCTAACTGGACCACTTTGCAAGCTCGAGCTGACAGTATTATTAAGTAACTTCACTGAAGTACGTACTCTGAAGTATTAGGCTTCCAGAATATGTAACAATGCTCTGAGAGACAGACTGGGCTCATGTGATGGGGTTGCGTTTTATTTTCTTAGCAGGTCTTTAACTTGGTCAGCTTACTTAGATGGTACGTCATGTGAATATAATCAAGTACTGTAGTTGAAATTGTGTTATGCCACTACTCACATATATTGGCTTAGGTACTATGCATAATGTTAATAGCTGAAATGTTAAAGAATATAAAGTCTAAACTATAAAGGATGAAGTATACCTATATTAAGCCTGTTTTAAGACTGCTCGGGAAATAAAAGCCTTATTCCCTTATATATGCGATTTTCATAATGTATACATAGTATATTCTAAGTGTACATGTGGGTGGTCTGTGTACTCCCCATGCAACAAAGTTGACAAATTTTTTAATTTACCCAATGTATTCTGCATTTTTCAAATATTTAT